GTACATCGAAATTTCGACCGGTGCATCGGATTTTGATCGAATCAACTGAATTTTGATCGAAAATTTTTTTTATACTATATCGTTTCAGTCAACATTGAAAACTGGTACATACTGACCGGTATGATACGAAATTTACTTCTTTAATCAAAACCCCTATCCGGTACCAAACTATCTCTCTAAGATTTCATTCCCTATGTTGTGTTCTAGATTTTCTTGATCTTGTCTTAGATTTTTGTTTTCGCCATTTTTCGTTCATAAAATAAATCATCAAATCTCACTTCTTTTTCATCTCCTATTCATCAAATCATGCCCACCTATTCAGTGGCGGAGCCAAGAATTTTGATTAGAGGGAGTCGACTTTTTATGTCTTAAAATAATGCATCGTAATTTTAAAAATTTACTTTTATATCATAAATTAAAATAATATTCGATGAGTTTTCATATCATAAAATTTATTTTTAATAGAATTTATCCTAAATGACTGAATTATTTCCTTTTTAATACAAATAATCAAAGAGTTTGAAAGGAATCTATCCTTCATTTTACTGTAAAGTTTCATTTTCATAATTTTCATGACAGAAAATGCTTTTTCTATTGTTGCAATTCTAATCCACTAGCCATTTTCTTGTTCATCTCAATCTCAAATTTGAGTAGGAGATCTAAAATTTGAAACTTGTATGAAGGTAGCAATTGACAACACAAAACCTTTAAACACTTAATTAGTTATCAAGATTCCTAGAATAGTATATCAGTACATAGTGGTGGAGTACTTAATTATCTGAGTTATCAGTTATCTTTGATTTTTTAGTGGAAGAGATTTTGCACCTCCACAAGTGAGGTTGGTAAATATGAAATACGACAACATCTTATTTCTTCACCTACCACTTTCTACAATCAAACAATTTTTTTCCCTTTTTACAAGTTAATTACATTTTCTACTAGTTTATCTTTCTTTTATACTAATTTATCTTCCTATTTCTTTTCTCTATATGACTATATCTAAGGTTTTTTCTTTTATTGAGTTTATATATTTTCCCATGGATCTATATTTTTTTTTTCAATTTTTTTTATTTGAATCCAATTCTATTTCATATAACTTCAATGTAACTTCAATATCATCATAATATTTAATTTTATTTGTAATCTCAACAACTTTAAATCCTAAAAGGAAATTATACAATTTTTTGTGATAATAAAAAATCAATAAGTTTCATTACTTAAATATTACTCCTTCCATACCAAAATAATAGATTTTTTATTTTATCTTCAAATGAAGGATTTGAAAACAATTTCTATCTTTTCCTTAAAAACAATTGCTTGTGTTGGGCTGCTAGCGGAGTCTCTTTTTTTCTCTTTTTTCTATTGTTGAAGTTGTTGGGTTGCAGTTGAAGGAGATTGGCACTGGCACAATGGGTTAGATATTAGAAAAATGACATAGAAGACACCAAAACCTATTTTTCTTCTTTTTTTTTTTCTTTATAATTCACTTATGGACCTTGAGATGGGTGGGTTTTAAATAATAATAAATAGTTAAAATAGATAATGGATTATATAAATTATATTTGAACTCCTAAAACAACCCATTATTACTGGATTTTTTTTATTTTATATATTTTAACAATTAAAAATATAATATTTAAAATTTTAATAATAATAATTAATTTAATTATATATTTCAAATCCCAAGGGG